GCCTGTTTGGTTAATCTTCTTTTGCTGTTGTTGTTTCAAGCCTCTTAAAAATACTACAGAGGATAAAATTCCTGTCCATCACCATAAACACTTCTCATTTCATAAGGAAACCAAAGCTTCCTTCTTATAACATAAATGAAGAAATTCTAATACTAATTTTAGTACCAACTCAAGAAAAAGTTAAAGGATTCATTTTTTTCCATAGGTTACAATCAGGTATCTATTGTAATTTTTACAACCACTGAACTAGATAATTTATTAGAGCAATTTAAAATGGAATATGGGAAACCCAAGTAATTTGATTTATTATATATGTTGATTTTACAACTTGTTCTGCAACCCAGAGCACATGCTGTCAGTGATTTGATTTTGTGGTAATCCTAGATAGATGTGTTGGGCATGTTTATACTCCTTTTTGTCTTACAGTTTTTAGTTACATGTTGGACATATAAAGCATCACTTAGTTCTTTTATTAAAAAAAAAGTTAATTGTTTCTATTTTATAATTAGATGTACCTTATTCTCTGAACAGTGATGTTGCAGATAAGCAGTTGAAAATTTTGAATGATGACAAAAGCAGTGCTTATTCAAAGCGCACAAAATCATACCTAGAGCATCTCCTTGGAGTTTGCAGAGGCTAATTAAAGAAATACTAGAAACAGTCTTTTTTTGGAATGTTGTTCCAGTCCTAACATCTTGAAGAGTCAAGTGAAATAGAAAATTTATCAAAGGTATAGAAAAAAGCAGTGGGGTGTCTGGGAGAAGCTCTCTATTGCTTGGAAGATTTGAAGAAGAGAAGAGGAGCAATGATTACAGGAAAAAGAAATATCACATTGTCACGTTTTATGTCTCTTGTAATAGAAGCTCGAAAAATACTGATAAAATTTGAAAGGTGACATTTCAAATAGGTAAAACGAGATCATTTTTGTGTGTGTACTTTAGCTCATTCAGCTAAAAATTACCCTTATGAAAGAGACAGAGTTTACTAAAACAAAAACCAACCAAACAAAACAATAACAAACCCCGAAAAACTCCCACCCAGAAATATTGCTTGTGCCTTCTTCACAGTTAAGTACTTGGTGATTCTGGTCCAATATTAAGCAAAAAGAAGTCAAAGGTACCCACCCAGAAACGCCAGCAGAAAAACAGCATTTCAGCACCAGTGGAAGAGCAGTATTTCAGATGCGGATTTGCAGTATCTTGTTTTTGGACAGGCATGGTATTCTGATGGTTCCATGACTACAGCAATTCATCATCTTTTCAGCTAGTCACTTTTACATTGTGCATTGAGATTTTTAATTGAAAACATTTCTACAAAGTAGAATGCATCTTCTAAAAATATGAAAAAAAATTTTGAACAAATATTTTAAAAAATTTTATTTTCAAGGAGTAGTTAATTGTCCTGTTTTTTTTTTTTTAATGAAATAACTTACATCATTATGTAAACCCTTATTATTACTTTTAAAGCTTGGTTGAGTTGAAATTGGTTTAAACAAAATGGTCCTATGAAGTTAGGAGGACTTTTTTCAGTGTAAAGTGGTTCATTATAAAACGGCACAGACTATGAACTTGACAAGTTACTGAAAATATAAAGGAGTATGTAGGGAACTCTCAAGTTTTACAGTTTTAGACTGCCAGCTTAGGCACATGTGGGAATCGTAAGAAATTATTTTTTTACTTTGTGGGTTCAATATGTATAGTGACTTTTATTTACTTGAATACTGAATAGCAGCTGACTGTTTAGGCAGAAAATCCAAATCACTTCTTCTAGATGAAAATACTGGTAACTGTGATTTTTCCAGATTAAAACCTAGCAGTTCCTGAGTTATGTTTTTCATTTTAAGATGCATCCTGTATAAAATATCTGACTAATTAAATTGTGGATTTCATGCAGTGTTTGATCTTCTGTTGATTCTGAAAAGGACCAGGCAGGCTGACAGCTTTTTTTTTTTTTTCCCCCTTCTCTTGTCAGGATGATAGGGGAAAAAAGTTAAAATTGTTAGCACAGTATGTAACTGTATAGCTTGTCTCTAATCCTGGGAGGCTTTACACTGCCTTAAAGGGCATCTTAAAATTTACCCTCACCTATATCTTGTCAATGCCACTATACCTGAATAGGTAATTTTAGCCTGTTTTTTTTCTCACTGTGGTGTAATTTGTTTTCACTGTCACTTTCCTATCACTGTTATGGTTTAAACTTGCTTAAAAAAAGAATAAAGTTTTCATTTGTTCTGCAAAGAATGTGATTTGTGGTGCTATTTAATAATGTAGAAAAATGGGAAGTTGCAGCTAAGTCCAACTTTCTAGAAAATTTAGAGATTAATATTTGCTTTCATATAAGTTTAATAATTTGATACTAAATTGTGGATAAGATCAGTGAAAAATGCACTGCAATTTTTAGGTCAAGTGATTGTCTTCATATGCTCATTTACTTGAAGCCATTTCCTTTGTAGATGTCAGCAGTTACTGATTGACTTTCACCTGTTGTGTCCTGCAAATGCATCCATAATGTTCTGAACAACTCAGTTACATGGAGGTTAGACTGTAAAATAAAATCATTTAAAAAGTGCCACATTCTATTGAAGCTGTGATAATTTTAGTAGGAAAAACTATGGATACTGTTTGAATACATGCTTAAGGTCTGATGTAGATTATTTAAAATCATTATTAGTTATGCAGCGATGTCTTTGTGGGTTAGATTACAGGTAGTACTATTTTGCATTATTGGTCAAGCAAATATTGTACAAAACACCACATTATGTAAGCAGTTATTCATGGTGGCTATTCCTTCTTGTGTTGTAGTAAATGGAATCATAGAACAGTTTGAGTGGGAAGGAGCCTTTCAAAAGTCATCTAGTTCATTCCCCCTGCCATGGACCAGAACATCTTCCACTAAACCGGGTTGCTCAAAACCCTATCCAGGCTGGCCAGGAACACTTCCAGGGATAGGAATATTAGAGTAGAAAGCTGTAGTCAAGTTGAGCTTATATTCTTACACTTGAAAAATGGTGATGGTAAGATTTTTCTAAAATTATTTATGCTCCTGTATGACTAAGCTACTTTGGAAAGTTATCCTACAAATATTGTGGATTGTAGGATGGGACTTTTCTTTTGACTGTTTTAATGCAGAAGGCATCTGCTGCATGTGAGGGAAGAAGTGTAAGCATGTTGGGGTAATACTGTGCCTGTAGGATTAGATTTGTGAACCAGAGTCTTTGTATAAACAACGTCCAGTTACTTTTATCATTTTAACATTGATGAAGACCAGTGATTTTTATTTACATTACCACATCTGTGTTGCTTAACACTTAAAATACAAAATTGAATACATTTTCTGTAATGTTTCATGATAGCAGCTAAGGATATTGTTTTGCAGCAGTCAGCAACTATGTGGGAGACCTGAGAAAATACATCTTTGGCTTTTTTTTTGGCTTTTCCCTCCCTATTATAACTAGGGAAAAAACTGATCATAATTTATTAATAAGAAATGAGAAACTGCAGTATTTTGGGAAATTTTTATCTTAAAAGTCTGATAATGATGACAACCATTGCCTGCATACTTCTAGTGTTTATTTCCACTTCTGCTACTTCAAATGGTAAGCACTTTGGAGCTATGACTAGACTGCTGTGAATACCTCACTATTTTTTAAACTTAAACTTGATACCAAATTGTTTTGGCTATAACAATGTGTTAAGGGAGTTGCCTTTTTTGTATGTTTCTTTTGGGTGGTTTTTTGTTTGTTTGTTTGTTTTTGGTTGTTGGTGGTGTGGTTTTTGGTTTTGGGGTTGTTTTTTTTACTGTTTTGGAAGTACATTTCTTCAGTATAACGTGCCAGAGTTCACTTCTCAAGTGTGGATCTATCTGAGGTGGATCCTGCTTGGCTGTGTGCTTGCCATCATTTTTCAAATGCTCAAACATTTCATTAGCACTGTTTGTATCCAGATTTTGCTACCCTGAGGACATAGAGAAACGTCACCCCAATTTTAAAAAGGTAAATAAGGAAGACCCAGGGAACTACTGTCCACTCAGTCTTACCTCAGTGCCCAGCAAGGTCATGGAGCAGATCCTTCTGGAAACTATGCTAAGGCATATGGGGAATAAAGGGTTCGGCTTGTTTAGCCTGGAGAAGAGAAGGCTCTGGAGAGACCTCCCAGCAGCCTTACAGTACCTAAAGGGGCCTACAAGAGAGCTGGAGAGGGACTTTTACAACGACTGTGGTGATAGAACAAGGGGGAGTGGTTTTAAACCGAAGAATCCATAGTTGAAATCATTCTGAATTCCTTTGTATATCTACAGCAGAAGTGGGGCATATATGTTCTATATATATGACTCATTTTTTAAGTAGGCAGGTTGTCTGTCAAAGCACAATACTTTCTTTTTTATTTTTTTTTAATTGTACTGTTTCTTGCAGCTGAAATAGTTTGAAATTTTTTACATGAAATCTACTGGAAAAAAATTCGCCTGTCTTGACCTCAAAGTGTACTTGTTTGCTACTGGAAGTGCCTAATGTTCTTCTAGAAGGAGGAAGATAGACTATTGCAAAAACTATTGGATATTTGTTACAGTATTGCTTTGACTTGGCAAAACATAGGTGTATGTTGAACTCCCAAGTTTGTGCTTACTGCTTATTTTACTTAAATAAAGAATTTATTAAAATGTTTTGTTTAAGGAGATCATATTCCCATAACAGAAGGTTTGGTGGTTTTCTAATGTAAAAAAAAAAAAATTAACACTTTTATATCCGTGACACTGTCTATAAATTATCTTCACACTTTTTTCTGGGGTGACAGCTTACTTGCAATTATTAATAAACAAAAACTCCCATGCATTTCATGATATAAATGAAATGCAAGACAGGGAAGGGAATGCGTAAATTCCAGATGTTTCTTTTCCTGCAGTCTTTCATTCTGTCCTATATCTTCTACCTGTCTTAAATGGTAATACTACATATTTGCACAGTCCTTAAATTGTTGTTTTTGTTAACTTTGTTATTAAAACAGGCAACAACAGAGAGACCTTTTATACAGAAGCTGTTTCGACCAATTGCTTCAGGAGGGCAGTTGCATACTTTGGGAGACCTGCTAAAAGATGTGTGTCCTAGTGCTATCGCCCCTGAAGGTACTGCAGAAATAACTTTTGTCCAATAAGAATTTTTTTTCCTGTTGATTTATTGTTTCTTCTGGTGTGGTTTTATTTTTTAATATGGGTATTTTGGAGGTAGAACTAATCCTCAGTACCAGAGTTTCAGATTTCACCCCTTCCTGGCTCTTTATTGTGCCCTGCATTATCTGCACTGTTTTGAGAGGATAAGACTGAGTCTCTAGCTGCTTCTGAAAAATTAATCTCTGGAAGTTTCATTTTAAAATTTGTCTACTTCTTTCCCATCATGCTGTTTTTAATAAAAACACTCACATGTTATTTTCCACACTGTAAAAAAAAATTTTATTAAAGCATCAGCAGAAATTTTGTTACCTTTAATTTTATATTGCAAAAACTTTTCATATGTAAAACTCCAAAACTTATAGAAATTGAATATGTTTTCAGAATGCCTTTTTCCCTGTTAAAGTCCAGCATTTTAAAATGTACCAGAAAGAGATTGTTACAAGTATATAATACTATATGTGTGATTACTAAGTAGTATTGTGTGACAAGATAACAATTAGTTCATGTGACATTATATCATTTCATACAATAGTATTTGTTGATGAGCACATTCAGAAAAAAAGCATTTCTGAATGTTATTTTAGACTGAAAGATTACAACTACTGGAACTCTAATACACTTTTTAGATAGGATAAATGTAAAAGTAATGTACTCTGCAAATTAAGATCAAAGTTTTTTAATGCGAAAGGTTTTTCTTCTGATTCTTACTATTTTCTTAGAAGTACCTGTAAATTAGTAACTTCTTTTTTCCTTCAGTCAATAAATCACAGTTTCTTTTGAGAAATGTATGATATTCTAGAGAAGACCTTGGCACAGAATTTACTGGTGTAGAATCAGTGTCTTTTGACAGTGAAGCACTAAATATGAAACCAGAGTAAAAATCTGCAAGATTTTATTGCACACAGAAATCGTGTAATTCAAAATCAAACAGTTGTCATGGATTTCTCTAAGTATCACGATCTTAGAAAGTGACTGAAATCTCAAAGTATGTTGTTAAATCTCCTGTTTAATACTTATTAACATGGGAACAATTTTCAAAAATAACAGAAGTTAAGAAAAATATGAAATGCTGCTAACCATGTGTCCAATTTTCATAAAGCTACTATAAGTTTTGGAGCATTGTTTTAGGTAATGCTTTTAGCTAACTGTCCAAAAGGTAAAGGAAGATACAATAGATACTTGAATGTTAGCACAATCAAGGTTAGCCATCTTCAAGTACTTAACTGTCAGTATCCTACAGACAGTAATGAAAAGGTACAGAGTGAGTTTAAAAAAAATTAATGAGAAGGATGGATGCATTTTATTTTGGAAAGCAGTCAAAAGTGCAAATTAAATGAAAGAAACTAAAAAAGCATTTATGCCAAAGTTATTCCAGTATATAGTAGATGATAATTTTTACAAAGTGGGTTTACCAAAGCTGCGGGTGGCAAATGTGCTAGGTACTGCCTTTATTAAAAGTCTGAATGTAATGCAATTCTATCTGACTAACAGTGATTGTGCTTCCCATCAGCAGGCCCTCTTTTCAGAAGTTGACAAAACTGCCAGCTTTTAATTTCAGAACAGAAATATACTGTGCTAATTACTTGTCTCATCTTTGTTAAAGGCTAGAAAAACTTAGAAGGAGCGATTTGAAATTTGGTGGGTTTCTTTGTATGGGAATATGCTTGTCTGTTCCTGTATGCACCTGCCCAGTTTCTACTGAGAAACTTACGAACTGAAGAGTTTAATCAATTTGATCCCTTACATGGGTGTGAGTTATCTAGAATTCCACAGATTTTCTTCTGTAATCCAGCTTTGTATTGTAGTGTTGTTCAGTTGTTTCTCTTGTATTCTGAGTGTTCTCATTGTATGTAACAGAAGGAAAGCTGTCTGAGCTAAATACAGAAAATAACATGGACCCTTCAGGAGTTACGGGGGTAGACTGATACACAGAGGCAGTGAACAAGTAATTTGGAAGAAAATGACATATCTGGGAATCATTAAATGTGACGGGAAGAGTGACTATAAACAATGTGACAGGATGAAAGAGACTGGGGCAAAAGCCAAAACCTGACATAATAAATGCGAACACCTGGACAGAGTAAGTGGGATAGGAGATGATAACAGGATGAGGGAGAAAACGAAACAATGCTTGTGGAACATACATAGAGATCGTGCAAGGCATCTGTGAAAGGATGGGGAGTAGAAATCCTGCTGGACAAGTGATTTGGAGAAGGGATTTGGAGGAACAAGTTGAAGCAGAAGTTAAAAAGACAGTTTGCGCTGGCAGAATGAGAAACTGCAAGGTGGTCAGGTGGAGCTGCAGATGGTAAGATAAAGGACTGAGGAAAACCTTTTCAGGGTTCACTGTACCCCAAACAGGAATAGAGAGTAGAAAATTAGGAATAGCAACATGGAAAGAAAAAAAAAAAAAAACACATGGAAAGCAAAAAGAGAAGCAGAACTAGGACAAAATGATAGGGATGATGTGGAAAGATTTAGACTTAGTGAAAAGTGACCTGAAAAGATGGATGTCCGTGACAGCAGTGATTTTTACTGCTGAGCACATGCCACACAAAGACAGTACAAAGAGGTGTGAAGGGCAGTGCTGGTTTAGACTTGACTGGCTGAGTTCATCATGCTCTGTTCACTAATTATTGAGCTTAGCCAATAAGTGAATTTGATTATTGTCTGGCTTGACTTAATCCACTCATTCATTATTCAGATGTAATGTGCACCATATTAAGTGTTCAGCTCTAATATAGCTTTGAGCTATTAAGAAACCAAGTAACCTACCAGACTACATAGTGCCACTTTTGAGTTTGGCCTGTAGAAACATTAGCAGCCATAATTAGGACATTCTTCTCCCTTTTCCAGCAAATGGACTAAACTCTTGGGACTACTGAACCACAGCACATCTGTGCTACTTAAATGTCCATTCAGTCAGCTCATTTTCTCTCTGACACTGGATCACAGAGTTTAACAACCTTCATCTGTCAATACATGTTCCATCAGTTCAAAATACAGAGGAGATATAGCTGTAGGAGAGTTTAATTTGCAAACACTTTTTCAAACCTGAGAGATACTATGTGTAGATGTTTTCTTTCTAAAGTAGTTGTCTCCATTTGAAGTTGAGTACTTGAAATTTAGAAGGTGTCAGAGCTATAAACTTCCTGGACAATATTAATCTCTTTACACATGGACACTGATCATTTTTCAGCTTATAATCACTCTCTACCTCTCATCTCCCTTTGTCTTCTGCAAAACTTTTGTCTTCCTGTCCAGACTGGGCATATTTTAGTGTCAGGTCTGTGTAGTGAAAAATCACAGTCCTGATTCTTGAAAGGATGAATGGAGAATAAATGTGCTTCAGGAAGTATTGTAATTTTGGCAGCTGAATGCTGCACCTTTGGGAATTGAATTCAGTTCCTTTTGCCCCGGGGAATTCATTCATATGTGATAGTAGGCAAGCTGAGTGTTACAAAATCACTCATTTTATAGAGCAGTGTCAGAAAAATCCAGTGATCAACATGAGTGTTCTGTCCCACCCTCTAAAAAATAAATACTTCTCACCATAATGTCTCTTTGACTCAAGTGTATGATTTCTGATAATACAGTCTTTCTACAGAAAACTTGTTAAAATGGTTCCTGAAGGAAAAACAGTTTGTGTTCAGACATTAAAATTAGTCCTCTTTGGACTTTTTTTGCTGTCTTCTGATTTTTGTTCTTGTAAACGTAAATGTTTTATCTTAATCTGCACTTTATTGGGACCAATGCATTAGAACACTGTAACAAAACAGAATACATTATGAAAGGTAGATTAGAAAATGATGGAAAACCTTTTCACATCTGGATTTTCAGACTTCATTCAGTGTTATCAAAGCTTAGATCTCAAATTTTCTGAATAAAGGGGAAAAAATGTAGTCTCTTATCAAAGATATGCTTAAAGACATAATAAGTACTGGAGAAGCAAGTTGTTTTCTGACTTTCTACTCTTCTCTACAAAGTCATTTAGATCTTTTTTCAAACTGTTTTAACCTCCCTCTTTAGTGAGGTAAATAATTGATGACATCAGCTGCATCTTTTTGTCAGTGCAACGCAATCAGTATGAGCTTCTTTCTTTCTGCTTTTCTCCATCTCCTGAAGTTTTTTTTTCTTTTCCCTCTATGGTTTTCTCTTTCCCTATGACTTTTCATTCAACTGGAAGCTTCATGGTAATTGTGGTGGTCGCTTTTCTATGGCGACATCCGTAACTGAGCTTTGTGCCGTGGGAACAGAGAGGATATATGGTTTTCAGACTCAGCATTTGTAGCCATATATGCAAGCTGTTCCTGCTGCCAGATTCTTAAGGACCACCACAAGAAGAGGCAGGGAAGGATTTCAAGAACCACCCACAGTGTCTATATGCCTTTGCTTTAGGAAACATGGATATAATTAAGTCTCCCTTTTAACTGTGCTGAGAAAAATATTTCAATGAAAAATGTATTTATATATATGTGGATTGAATATATGCATTGATTACCAACGGTTGAAAACATGGTGTGAAGAACATTTTCAGAAGGAGAACAGGTGGAATAGTAACATTAAAAGATTGATAGTGAAAAAGGTATTTATAAAATACTGTGTCAATGTTATTTTGGACTGTTACAGACTGTGGGTAACTGTTTAGAATACTGTGTTTTATTTTAAATTAGCTTATGAAACTATTTATTCAAGGCTTTTATTGTTTGTTGAAGTGCTATAAAAAATAAAACCTTGAGCTGTTATCCCAACCCCTGCTTTCCTGTCTCTCCTCAAACTGATCATTTATTCAATTATATATATTTTTTCTGCTTAATGAATGCTGTACAGTGTTCACCTTTCTGGGTTGCTAAATAGTTTCATCTTCTTAAGCTGTTGATCAGAGCAAAATTGATGGATAGAAGTTTAAGGCTTTTTGTCATGGGCATTGTTATACCAAAGGAAGGAGTGGCTTC